ATTTTTATCGATTTTATCGATTCGTTGTGGCAGCCCTAGTCTCAGTCCAATCAGAGCCGTTCGGTAACTTCCCTCCACCCAGAAGGCAGCTCTGGGCGAGTCACTTCCATCCTGGGACCGAAGCTGTTAGTCCAGCCGCCGTTTCAGCAGTGAACTCCTTCCTACCCAGCAGGTTCTGCAGCAGCTTCTCCCCCACCGCCATCACACTGATCAACTGCTGGATAAACTCTCAGACTCCCACGATGTTTACATCTGATCACTGCTGCACTTTAAGAAATGGAAATCTCATGAGAGCTGTACTAAATGACAATAACAGTCTCTATCTGCTCCCTGTCTCACAGACTGGAAGGACGGCCTTCATGTGTCTCCAGATGTTCCAGCGTTTCGTCTCCAGCTCTCTGAAACGAGGAAGCTGGACTCCAGAGGAGGACGCCCAGCTCAGAGAGCTGGTCCAGAAGATGAGGATCGGAAACTTCATCCCTTACACTCAGAGTATGTCGTCACGCTGTGACGCCACGCTGTGACATCACGCTGTGACATCACGCTGTGACATCACGCTGTGACGCCACGCTGTGACATCACGCTGTGACATCACGCTGTGACATCACGCTGTGACGTGATTCCCTCTCTGACGAACCCTCTGCTTTCAGTGAGTTACTTCATTGAGGGTCGGGATCCATGCCAGCTGCTCTACAGGTGGACCATGGTTCTGGACCCCAGGCTGAAGAAAGGCCCATGGAGCAAAGAAGAGGACCAGGTATGAGTCGGACCCATGTCTGCTCCTCCTTCCTGGTCCAGGACCGCCTACCGGATCTGAAATCTAGGATCCAATAACGCTTGTTTTATGCTTGACCTGTCCACGAGGTTCGCATGGCCAAATGACGCCATTTTGGGCTTCCAGGCCTCTCTGCATGGCGCCCGATGCAGACAGAATCTAGGAAAACTTGTAACAGTGGAAGAGTGAGCAGCAGCTTCTGCTGGCGAGGGTTTGCAAAGGTGGACATCTAGAGAAATACCGTGATTTAACCCCTAAATATGACCATGATCCACAGACGATGGAGAAACTCCAGGAAGGAACCGACTGTGGCTCTCAGAGAGCATGAAGAGGCTTTGATAAAGTTGTAAACGGCTCTCCGTACATCAAGCATAATGAGCCTTTGATGCTACGTTCAGACTGCCAGGCTGGAAGTGGCAAAGCTCCTGCTGCT